GCCGTCCTTGGTCAGTTATGAATGTGGACGGAGTCCCAAATCTTAACAGAACTTGTGTTTCAATAACTCTGCAGATAGTGTTAGTACTGATATCTGCCAACGGGAACAATAGGGTGAATCGACTCAATAAATCCGTACATGTCAGCACCCATCTTTCTCCTTTAGAACTAGGGAGCATTGGCCCCACAATGTCGAGCCCAAGCACCTCAAAAGGCTCAGAAGGGGTCCATAGATGGGCTTCATGCTGACGATTTGAAAGAGAAGCTGACACTTGACAAGGATGACAGCTTCGAATAACTGATTTCACATCAGCTCGACTACGAGGCCACCATAACAAACGACGCAAATAGCGGTGTGTTGAATTCACCGCCGGATGACCTCTAAGATCATGATAATATTTAATCAACTCAACCGGTAGCCGAGAATATTTGGACTTAGGCAGGACTACTCTGACATCATCTTCATCATCCACAGGATCCTTCTTACACAGTACACCATTCTGGAGGAAGACATTCTCACCATAGTGGAACACTGCGGGAGATACCGACCATTTCTTGGACAAGTCCGCTCCTTCATTCAACAGTTGGCGAACTTCCTTGCATAAAGGATCCTTCTCCTGCTCCTTAATCAAGAATCTTCTCAATAACTCATGGCTCGGAGTGGGTATAGTTCCCTTCCAAGCATGAAATGCTCTATCAAGATGGTAATAAGATTTGATCATTCCTAGAACCACCGGCCTTAACACCACCACCAGAGCCATCACCACTTCCCATCTCACCAGTTTTGCCAACCAAGAATAATTCCAAAGCATTATGTAAATCCTCGTGGCGATTAATGGGCCACTCGATACCTTGCGATCGAATAGACACTATCACTTGCTTCGCTAGATACTTCGCAAGAAAATTAATCCATTCCCCACTCATGCCCTCAACTTGAGCGGCATCAATAACGGCCCCATAAATTACCCTAGCTTTCTCCTCAACATCTACAATTTCCGTTTTAGAAGCCCAACGCTGCAATTTCGCCCTCATAATTGATACCTCCTTATTGAAGGCATCCCTCTTTTCAACCTCTAGATAAAGACGTTGCATCTCCATCCCCAGGTCCACACCTACAATAGGTGCTATTACGGCACTTGCGAATACAGCGTCGGCAGATCCTGCATCGGGTACCATTTTGTTGAGGTTATGAGCAACACAACAGAACTTGAGCCAAGATGGCTACGTTAATAACAGACCCCTCCTCTAGAACTTCTGCTACAAGTGCCTCTATAAGATTATGATAATAGCTAACGGCAAGACTAGACTCTTGCACTCTTGCTATTCCTCTATAAAGAAAAAGTAGTAAAGATTTCTCTACAGACACAAATGCTGTCCCGACACACATCCCCCGGGCCGGGTGGGTGTGGATAAAGCTCACCAGGTCGGTGGTGCATTGCTGCTCCACATAACAAGGTGGATGGATGGTTGCCACAGGCAAATAGCCTGGAATCTGGTGACGTAGACATACACGTATCCTTTTGCGTCCGTGCGCACGCACGTACGCGAGCGTTTCGTGTTTGTAAGTTGTGTGATATTCACAGTGCGTAGAGTTGTGGGGTCCCGCCTGAAAACAGTGCTCCTGAAAAAGGTGAAGGTTGAGTGAATCCGTTGTAGGGACTTTTTCTCCCACTAATGCGGGTGAAAGCCTTACAATAGTGAACAACAAACTCGCCCGCACCGGTATGCTAAGTATCAGTAATTTTTCTACCACTCCTTCCCGAACCGATTCAACTTTCAATGATCACTCTCTCTCCGGTTGATCAATGTTTGAGTAGCCAGCTTGCTCACAAGAATCGCAGCGCTG